AGTGCAGTCAAAGTTAGCCAACGTCATTTTGGTTGATGCTAATAAGAACCAGGTTCACATCTTCTCATGTGTTTGCATGGCATTGTGACTTATAGATGCATGTAGACTATTTTTTTTTTTTTTGATAATGACTTACATTATTTGTATTCTAAGGCATAGAGTTATAATATGGCATGATAATGTTATTTCATTACAAATTTTAATATGTTTGTTTGATTGCAATATTAGCTCCTTTTGCTAATAAAGATAAAGTTTTAGTTTGATTAGTATACTATTCTCCCCCTTTCCTCTTATTTATTTATTTATTTATTCATTCTATCTGGGTGGTGTGCTTTAGAAATTATTGTTTCAGTGGAGAAACCAATGGTTTAATGTTCTTTTCTTTACCACCATATATATCTAATCGTATGACATTTTTCATAGATCTGTTTGATTTTTCTTAGGTCAACAGTAAGAAGTTAATCAAATTGTTTTCATATTTAATCTGGATGTGTAAAGCCTATTTTCTTGCTTAGCGAATAAAAGGCTGAATTCATAAAATTGCTTGCTTTTATTACGCATATTGTTAATGCTTGTGAGTTTGTACATTACATTTCTATACGTAGTTTGCATTGTGCATTTAAAGATGTTTGTTCCTGAGAGATCTTTTAGTTTAAGGTTTGAGCCCTTTTTTTGTTCTAACTTTCTTATGCGTAATGTGACAGATAAAGGCATCTGCGATACCACAGCTGCCACAACATAGGGAGCTTTTTGCATGCTTAAGTCCTTATCATGCAAAGCTTGTTGGAGAAAGTTATTTGGGGAGGAAAAGACCGGTACATGAGTGCACAGATATGCAGGTATGCTTTTTGCCATCTATATTTCACTTTTGCATTTTCTATTCTAATCTTAAACCCAAAAGACCTTTTCCTGACAAGTTCACCTTACTTACTACAATGAGTTGTATACAATCGTGCGATTCAAAAATTCATGGGTATGGCTCATACGGGCTCCATATAAAATTTGGGGGACCCCCACGGATTCATGATTTACATTGTAAAATTATAGAATTGTAGATGATAAGGACTCTTTCCTGACAGCATACTGCTGAACTTGACTGGTGACATTATAGTTTGACGAAGCTTTCAATGTGCAGAGCATCATCATTATGGATTTATCTCATATAGATGAGTACCTGTAATACTTTGTTTCTTGCACAAGGGAATAGTTTGCATTCCATGGATGGCCTCATGGAATCTAAGCCTTTTTGTCATTATGATAATAAAATCATATATAAGAGTTGTTATTGTTTTGCATTTTCAACTTATCAGTATCTGTATATGCATTGAATGTATTGTGAGGTCTTACTAGAAACTATAATTTCTACCATTTTGGGGGACTAGAGTACCACCATATTCTGAATGTTATAGTTTGACCATGTCTCTTTATTTGGGAAATTATCCACGTGAATCATTGAACCATCTCTTATTTGATGTGTTTTGGTGTGTAATTGCTTGTTCAAGATCATCTAATGAAGTGTTGCTGTCAATTCAGTGGTTTGCTAATTGTTGTTTTTATGTGTTTTATGGTATAGATAGAAGCAGCCAAAGGTTTTCTATCAGTATTAAGATCATACGTGGATTCTCTTTGCTCTAACATGCGGTCACACACAATTACAAATGTACAGTCCAACAACAATAAGGTTTGTGTGTTTCGTATAATTAGAATTTTTCAGCAAAGCAGCTTTGTTTGGGTGTTCATTTTGGTAGCCCAAAAAAACCTACCATGCTGTCATGCTGCATTTGTCTTACACTATATTATCAGTAGATAATTTACAATTATGAATTGTTCAGAATTTCCCATCATCAATATTGTTGTTACCAGCTACAGGTTACAAGATTCTGTGAAAGGGATATGTGATCCATAGGGTCATAAGGATGTCAAAAACAAACTCGGTTTTGTTGGATGAATATTGCGAACATACTTAGAACTTGGTCTTGTGTTAGCACGAATTGGATCAAAGTTCACCTGGAGCTTGGAGGATTGGATATACTTTAATCAAGAAGAGTATTGGTTGAAATTAATTGCATTATTACCCTCTTGAAATATCAGTTAAAAGATGGTGATATATAGCTTAAGTGGAATGAACTTTGTAATTGCATTATTACCCTCTAGAAAGATCAGTTGAAATTAATTGTATTCTTAGTAGGCATATAAGCCACTCAAGAATTTTTGCCATGTAGTAAAATGTCAAAAGGAAATAGGATATATATTAATAATGATATTTCAACATTGTATTGAACATAAAATGTCTATTGGGGAAGCCTTTGGCAGAAAAGTAGGTCCTTTCTAATCTAGTCATTAAAGCAAAATTTGGGGTTCTAGTTTCCCTTTGGTTGAGGAAATTTTCTAAGGATTTATGTTCAGAAGTTATAATTATAGTTTTATGCTGGCCAACCTCCCACAATCCAAACTTTTTATCTGGGCTTAGGATTGGTTATGTATGTATTATATGTGAGAATTTAGTCTTGCACTGGCGGATGGAAGATGGAGTTGTATAATCCAGTATTTATATATATAATGTTCTGCTACCTTGTATTATTCACAAACAAATGATGAAATCATGAATTTCTTCTATGTCAGGTATCATTGCTTTTAAAAGAGAGTTTCACTGATTCATTCCCTAGTCATGATCGACCATTTATGAAGGCGAGTCCTGCAATGCCACCAGTCCCATTTAAGAATAAGTATAGTTTATCCAACCTTGTTTTGCTCTATGTTATGTTTTTCATTTTATTTCATTTTTTGAGGATTATTATTTTCATATATTTTTTAATGATAAGCTTACTTAAATAGCTAATGTCAAAAAAGCTTTACTATTAATAGCTGAAAACATACTCACGGTTCCGCCCCCCCTCCCACCATTTTCGCAGCTTTTTGTGGGCACACAGCTCTTCTCTGTGCATACAGATCTTGTTCTCTGATTTATCCAGTAGGAATAGGACCACAACCATGCAAGGATGGCCTGTTAGTAGTGTTGTAACTTGAACGTAAGTTCAGCATTGTATAATGTCAAATTATATTATCGATATCGGCCATAAATGTTATACATTTGTATTATTTATTTTTACTTCATCCAATTCCCCCGTTTCTCTTGCCATTTTCTACTTGGCATCCTGAAAATTGATAAATTAGAATATTTGCTTGTGTTACATTCTTGTGCTTGTGCTCAGTTAATAATATTTGCTTCAGTTGGAGTCATAAGTGCTTTCAGAGGTGGCAGGTGAAGTTTTCAATTTAAATATCACATCTCGAACCTAAGGGAGGCAACTTTTAAGGTTCTTGTTCCCTCTTAACCAAGCATTTAGCAAAACCAACGGCGTCTTTGCAAGCAGTACACATGGTTGAATGGTGCATCTAATGTCGGTCCAAAGTTCTATCAAGCTCGTGAATCGTCCAGTGACTACCCCATTGATGGAAATAATGGCACTCACAGTCAAAGAGGGCGGGTGTCTTTATGCTAAGTGTCTTGACCTATTGAGAGTTTTTTTTTTTTTGGTAAGAAAAAAATTTGAAATAAATAGATTGTTCAGTTTTTTACATCAAAATAAAATATATTGTATTTGACAGTTTAAAATATATTATTGTAAGTTATATATTGGAGATAATTTCAATAAATGATAATTGATAAGATTTGATTTTAAAATATTTTTATTGTGAAAAATGAGTTTTAATTAATTGAATCTATTTAGAGTTAAGATACATCTTGTGCTACCTTCCGCGGCCCTTATGGCATAGCATGTGGCTCCCTTTTCCTCATAGAGCAGGTGGGAGTATGAGAAAATTAAACATGGGTTGGATTAATGGAGTTTGAACTTCAAAATTAATTAGGGATAGTGATCTTGATTGTTGAGTAATGGTCTAGGAATAGTCTTTTTCAGGCTTTTCAGTGGCAGAGTAAGGAATGACAGCGTGCAAATCTTGGCAAAGTGGCAAATGCTAGGGCCATAAACTTACTGGATATTCCAAGTCAGGAATGACCGTGAATATTTGTAGGCTGTCAAAACTATTTCTGGACTAGCATGTTGAGTTGACCATGACCCACATTTGAGTTGAGTAGCTGGAGCCCTGAATGTAAAATACTGGTGTCCATGAATATGTGTTCATTACCTCACTGAATTATAGGATCCAAAGATAAGAAAACATTTCTCATTATTCTTCAGTCACTACTTTTGGGAGCAAAATGCTTAGGGAAGTTTGAAAGTGGAATTTATTCAAGAAATGCAGCGGGGGAGGGCCGTCCTGGTTGAATTTTTTATTATTATTATTATTCTATTTAAAAAAAAGGGTGCTTTGCAAGTGTTTGAAGTTGGACCAGCCAAAGCATATGGACAGCGTCTGTGAACACTGCAAAGAGTCCACTACTTTGTACAACACGTGCCAAACATATATAAATACAAGTGCCAGGGAATTAAATGCACTGCACTCTCTTTCCTATCTTACTCCTGCAATGCCCTTTCCATCCAGATAAATGCTCAATATCTCTTCACTGACCTTAAAATAAAAGCTCTACAATAATCCCAGACTACAAGCATAATCCGAAACTGTTCAAACAGTTCTTTCCACAACTTTTTGGACCCGAACCCTTATATATTATTATAGGAGTGACAACGAAAAGCTGCCACAGAGCTGCGGATCACCACCTGTTTTTGCTTAAAGAATTTTAGTCCTCGAGTAAAGCAATTTTAAAAGAATGGATTCGCTATGTCAATGGTTAAGACATTACCCAACTGAGCTGGTTTATGCAGATTTTGCAGACTTTGCTTCTTTTCAGAAACAGACAAACCAGCACATGTTCATCTCATTTGAGAATTAGGGAAAAGAACAAACATAATTTGAAAAAAAGAATACACAAAGATATATTTTTGAAAAAAAACAAAAGGCAGATGCAAAAGATCGTATAGTAAGGGGGACGCTGGGGTCTCAGGTAAAGAAACAGAAAACTTCAAGGAAGCTTTTTTTTTTTTTATAAATTAAAAAAACTTCAAAAAGTTATTAACAGCAACAGCCCCAATCCGTACAAAACTTCTCGGGGCGCAGGCATTTGACTTCAGACAACAACTCTTATAGTTGTAGTTAATAATAATAATAATTCCCTGCCAACAACTCTTGGCGAGTTACTAAAAATGAAGTTATTACAGGTTGTAAAGCTGAGTTTTTGTTAAAGCAACACTTCCAATAAAAATAATAATAATAATTCTCCCTTTTGTCTTTACAGTCTTTTTAATCCACGACCTTTAGTTTGTGGGTTTCTGTAGTGTTGTCAAAGACTAGGGCTGCCACTGAGGCAGCTTAGCTGCAGAACCAGAAGGCAACAGAGAGGTGCAGTCATAATATGAGCAGCTCTCTCCCACAGGACTCAGGAGTCGGGGAGGAAAAGAGAGAGAAAAGAGTGGTGGCAGCATTACCATTAGTTTTACCCATTTACAGAAGATTCTGCAGGAAAATGGTCCCTGAAATAAATATACCTACACTACAAAGACTACAGCAGCAGACCTCTCAAGTAATAAGTAATGATCAACCCACCAAAACACACTTACCAGAGAAACCAACCCTGTTTTTATCTCTCTTCTGCATGTTTGTTTCTCTTCTTTCACTGCACTGTGAGGTTTAAATAAGTTCTCCCTCCCCCCTCTCCTTTTCTTGTTAGCTTGCTTGCGTTCAACAATTTTCTTCTCCTTCTTCTTCTCTCTTGAATGATGAGTGGAAGAAATAGATTTCCTTTTACTGCATCTCAGTGGCAAGAGCTTGAACACCAAGCTCTAATCTTCAAGTATATGGTCTCAGGCATCCCCATACCACCTGATCTCCTCTTCACCATCAAGAGAAGCTGCTCGGACTCCTCACTTTCTTCCAGGCTTTTCTCTCGCCAGCCTCAACATAGTAAAGCCCAAACAACAACTAAATTTAACTTTTCTAGTGACTTTTATTTCCTTTTGATTTTTCTTTAGCCGTTTTTTCCCCCTTTGGGTTTTAATAATGAGGTTCCTTCCTGTTGTATTTGTCAGTTGGATGGAATTTTTTCCAGATGGGATTGGGGAGAAAAGTGGACCCAGAGCCCGGGAGGTGTAGGAGAACAGATGGAAAGAAATGGAGATGCTCGAAAGAAGCCTACCCAGATTCGAAGTACTGTGAAAGACACATGCATAGAGGCAAAAACCGTTCAAGAAAGCCTGTGGAAGTTACTGCTACAACAATGCCAAACCCTTCAACAACAACCCCAAAGTCATCAATTACCAAAACTCACCCCTCTTCTTTTTCTTCTCTTTCTTCCATGTCCCTGTCCTCCTCCGAGTCCCAACAGCACCACCATCAACTTTGTTACCTTGGTTATCATTCCCAGGTCAATCATCCCTTTATGTATTCTTATGCACCAAGACCTCCTGGGATTGGGCAGTCACCTCAAGAAAACACCACCCACTCTCTTTTCGATTCGAGCTCTCACTCCCAGACAAACACAGATTACAGGTTCAGTTACAAAGAACTTTGAAATTTCTACTGTACTTGTTTTCTTTTGCTTATTGTAATTGTTTTTTTCATATTTTTACTGCCACTATTTGCTAATGAGCTCTGTTTCTTGTGGTTTTTGTGAAGAAGAAACAGTTATGTTTATGGACTGAAAAAAGAGGTGGATGAACATGCTTTTTTCTCTGAGCCTTCTGGGACAATGCGGAGCTTCTCAGGTTCATCTGTGGACGATTCATGGCAACTTACACCACTAACAATGAGCTCTTCTTCTTCAAAGCAGAGGAGCTGCACTGGCTTACAGAGTGAATACTCTTACTTGCAGCTTCAAAGCCTCACTGACCACAACTCAAAACAAAACAAGCTGGATGATAAGCATTACTGCTACGTATTGGGAAGTGATATCAAATGTAAATTGGAGAAAGGAGAACCCCAAAAGACAGTCCATCGTTTGTTTGATGAATGGCCACCAAAACATAGAGACTCATGGCTTGATTTGGATGATAAATCATCAAACAGCTCATCAGTTTCAACAACCAGGCTCTCAATATCCATCCCTTCCACTTCAGATGACTTTCCCATTTTCAATTCAAGAGCTCATAATGGTATTTTAAACAAAAAAAAAAAAGAAAAAGAAAAAGAGTTGTACTTATGCTGGTTCTTTTGCTCCTAGCCACTCGTTTATCTAATTTAAGACACATTTAACTCGTTTCTTCTTCTGGTCTGAAAACTTAAATTTTGTTTTGCAGATGATTGAGTATCCACTGGTGGTTTTCTGCATTTAGGCCAAGCATGTACTTAGTGGGGATCACATCTTTCTGTGAATTTTGACTGTTCAGTCTTACCTGTATTTATTTATTTTCCTTTTTTTTCTGGCAAAATTTGATGAAGTTGGGTTGTGTGTTTTTAATGAAGGATCCAACTGGTTTCTGTTCTTTTCCTACTGCAAATTTATGTTTCATATATATAAAGATTGAATGGCTCCTCCGAACGTGATTTTGCCGGTATCTGACAGGGTGATGTGTTGTTCTAGGGTTTTTATGTTGCTTTTATTTTCATGGACTTACTCAACCTCCTAAGTATTGTAATAATAGTTGGGGGACCCTATGTTCCCACGATTTGCTAATTTGTCACTTCTGAGTTCACCTAACTTAAACTTTGGCAAGCCAAGCCAAATGTCCATTGATGATTTTTGCAGTCTACACTAATGCCCTTGTTTTAGGAGAAAATATTTCTCTTCAAATGAATCTATATTTGTTATTTTCCCCCTCATTGTTCTTCATTATACAATAAAGACAACGGGTTTTATTATTATTATTTTTTGCTAAATCAAGAGATTCATCTCTTAAAATATCAAGAAAAGAGGACAGAAAAACATTGTATGGTCCAGGTCCATAATATTTTCTGAAGTAGAGTTGGGAATTCAGGATTCAATTCTCTTCACTAATTTTTTAAGAATCTCCTCTAGATCAGTCCATCCTTTTGGTTAAACTTGGAAATAGCATTACCTCGACAGCATAGGTTCTAGTTAAATGAAGGGCTATGCTTTTCTCTAACTTGCTTCCAAAATTTCGAACTATGATCATCTAAGTTGATAACTGTGGTTTAAAACCACTGATGGAGAATTTCCCTCACTCTGTTTAGGCTTTTCGGAAAATATTCCACCATTAAATTTGAAGAAGCATCCATATTTCGTTTCAGGGCTGCAGGCCAGCCACTTTTAACCATGTTCATCTTCTGCTTTGGCATAACCAAACATAAAACTTTAGTGTTCCACCAAGCTTTTTGTTTCCATTTCTTTCTTTTATGGACTGCCTTTCCTGTAGTACTTACTATTATTACAGTAGCGTGTACCCACAAACACCGAAAGTTTCCCACTGTATCTTCCAAAAGCAAGTAAAGAAAAAAGAAAAGAAAAGTTTACCATTTTAACTAAAAGCAGATTCAGGCCAATTAGACTGGTACATAAACTATATGTTTCCTTCGAGGAGAAAAGGAAATTAGAGATATAGAAGTAATGGGTATTTCCTGTAAGATATAACTTCTGTCTCTCAGGGAAAAGAATTACTGTAATGCTTTTTGTTTGATTTGGCTATAGCAACATCCAAAATCTTGAGTTGTAGATATCGTCATAAAGGAATTTGGGCTATTAAGTAAACATCAAAGGTTAATGGACGAAAGGAAGGGCAATTTGGGTCAGGAAGAAAAAGAAGGAACCGAGGAGCAATTCAGGTCAGGTCAGGTTAGGTTAAGCTTTGGCAAAAAGAGATAAGAGAGACATCTATATATGTGCTCATGGAAAAGACTCACGCATCAGCATCAGCTCATCAGCTGGTAGTTCTCAGCAACTGAAGGTACACTTTTAATCCTGCCTCCTCCCACACACATACACGTACATTCCCCACCCCATCTGACTCTCTGACTCTTTCATGTCTTTTTTTTTCTTTTGTCAGTCACCACCACCCTGAAATATCTGACAGCATTTACCTTACATTTTGAACTACACTCCAAGGAAATCCACTTCCAACGTCGTCGTTTCAAATGTAACTAAATAATTAGCCGCTTGAAAGACCTCGACCTTTGATATGGATGGACCTTCCGCTGTCTGAATGTTTCTATATTTTGACATTTCATTTCTGCGCAATCTGAATTACAGATTGCCGTTGTTGATGTTTATCCACACTCGATGTTCTTAAATCTTGACAAGTCCGATTGTAATTACTCCAAATTTTTCTACGAAGATCTTGTCACTCCATAAGATTGATCTCCATAACGTCCTAAGCTGAATGGTGGGATGAATTTTTTTCTTTGGTTCTTCTATATATACAAACTTGAGTGAAAGCCTGTTCCCCGCCCCATCGACAAACAACTGCACGGCTTAGAAAAACCGTACTGATATGCAATAACACAGTGCAGGGTGGAACTGGTTAAAAGGATGGAAGAAGTGAAGGCTCTATTACACTAACGTTGAAGCAGATTTTAGTTTCCCAAAAAACCAAGAAAGAAGATCCCACAGCTTTCAAAGAAACTTGGAAGATTTGAAGAAAGATGTCTACTACAAAATGAAGATCGGATCTTAAATAAAATAGGCAAGGAGAATGGATGCATCTCTATAAACAATATCGTGCATCCTGCTACAATTAAACTAAATGAACATCGAGTTCCCTTTTGCTCTATCTCAATCCTCCTCATCATCAAGCGCAGCAGCTCCATTTAGCTTACTGTTATCTTCTCTAATTTCTCCATCACTCTCCTGTAGCTCAGCCGAATTCTCTCTTGCAGGACTGGACTCTGGTCCCCTTTGTAATGGTTCATCATCATCAGATTCTGACCAGGCCTGTCTCCGTCTTCCTGCAGCCGATGATGGCGCAACAGGCTTCACAAAAAAAAAAAAGAAGTGACAACTCAGGCAACAAAAGAATAAAAAAAATTTGCCACCACCACAGTATCCTCCACATCAATAATCTGTGCACTATTCCTCAGTGTGTTATAAGTTTGGCTGAAAACATACTAACTGGAAAGAAGCCAACACAATGGGCATACAGCATAATAAGAGAATCATTTCTTTGAAAAATTTTTTAACCACCTAAAGAAATTAGAGCAATCTTCTAAAACTACAGCAAGTTTATCTGCCATCACTGTTAGTTCTGCTAGATAAATGGTCGAGGCAGTAAATGCCCATATACATTTTAATTCTACTGCACGTCTAACAATTCAATTTAAAAAGAAGCCACAAGTAGGGATGGCAATGGGTTGGGTCACAGAGAGATTTTGTTTATCCTGAATCCGACTCGATTTTATACTTATAAAATCCAAACCCGACCAAATATTTTTTTTTAAAACTTTTTTCATATCCAAGCCCAACCCAATCTAACATTGTATAAACTACACTTGATCCAACCCGATCTAAAATTAATAAAATATTTATTTTTAATATAAATATAAAATTAAACATATATAAATATAAAATTAAATAATTAATTAAAAATAATTTTTATATATCAGGTCGGGTTTGCTAAACCCCGACCCCGACCCGACTTTTTTCTCCTATTACTTGACTCGACTTGAAACCCAATTTTCAAAAAAAAAAAAAAATCAATCCTAAGAGATCGGGTCGGGTTAGAACGTGCCAGAGGCGGATTGGGCTGCCATCCCCAGCCACAACCATTGAAAAAATGCAAGTAGATTTTAAAATATGTTATCAGATGCCACTAAAAGACATGATAGTAAAAATGTTACCACCTCATCCTCCACATCAGAATCTTCTAACCCAGCTGCAGCAAGAAGATCCTGAGCATTTTCTCCTGTATTCTCATCATCCTGATCATTCATCTGAGTTGTGGATTCCCTGTAGTTCATGTTGGCATCTTCATCTTCCAATTCTTCCCGATCATCCATCATGTCAGGTTCCTCATCATCTCTGTCATAACGCGTTTTCTTCTTGTCCTTCTTTCTCCTCTTTCCACCTTTTCTTCTCCTTTTCTCACTATGTCCACCCTCTTCATCATCAATTTCGGACCGTTCCCTTCGCTTGGATGCAGGGATGCTACTCTTCCATTGCTCCTAGAGATGGCAGCAGCCAAACAAATCATATTCAAAATTGTAAAGCCTAAACCTTAGATAACTAAATAAAACTCTCTGAAAGCAGATTTAAGTGAACCCTAGATGGTGTTAATGGCTGGATTGTCGCGTAGATATAATATCCAATAAAGGCACAAGACATCTATAAGAGGATTATGCATCCCTGAGGCGGATAAAATAAGTGATAAGATTTCATGTATAAATAACAAGGTGCTGCTCAAGTTTTAGTGTCTCCATAGCAACCGCCAAAAAAAAATAATCTTCTGACAAGAAATTCTTTATTTCTGACTAACAAAATATAGATTGCGATGAACCCATTACTGCAAATTCCTGACCAATCAGCAACACCAAAAAGGAAGAGAGAAGGAATAGGTTCTGAAAACTGATCAACTTTTTTTTTTATTTTAAAGTTTTACTTATAACTAACTTCCGGAAGAAATAAAATGATATTGGTTGATACTGCCAAAATCAGCATTTTTTATTATATAGTTCAAACTCTTGCCTGTACGCGCTTAAAATGTTCCTCTGCCTGCTGTAGCCTTTTCTGCTCATCTTCTTGTTTTCTTCTCTCCAACTGTTTTGCCACAATAAGGAATTAAGAAAACATAAGCTACCCATCTTCAAACAGAACAACATTGACATCATAATAATCATAGATGTACAAAAGAATAAAGCAAGTTTACAAATGCAGACCAGAAATTTTCTTTGCTCTTCGGCCTTACGACGAGCTTCCTCAGCCAATGCAAGTTGACGGGCTGCTTCTTGCTTCTGCCTGTTCTGCTGCTCTTCACGCTCAGCTGCTTCACGGTGAACTTTTGCAGCGTCAAGCAAGTGTTTGCAATATTCAACATGGGTGTTAATCTTCTTCTCATCAAACCCATGAAGATGAAGGTTGGATGCGGCAGATAATTGACTAAATATACGAACAGCATTCTCCAACTCTGCAACTGTTGAACGCACCTATAACATGGTGAACAAGGAAGATGATTAGAAGGCATAACAATCTCTTTTCATCCACTGAATCCGCCATCCAGTTGTAAACAAAAATATTATTCCAAGAGATCTCCACTCATGAATGAAATGGATCAGAGA